TGTGTCGAGAATATATAGACATATGTGAACTTCATCTAAACAAGCAACCAAAGGCAAAATTACAACGCATATATAAGGAACTGACAAATGATGCATCAGCAGCGAAAACAACAAATCAGAAAGAAGTTGATGAGCATGTTAAACTGGCCTTTGAACTTAATGATCCTAAAATAATTAGTGATCTCAGAGAACTTAATGAAGGTCAACCGGGCAAATACGATGAATTTTGGGCTATAGGCAAGAAGTTTTTAGAGGGCATTGCACAGGAAGTTGTGGTTGCTGTTGATGAAAGAAGACACAATCTAATTTTGTATCTTGCACAAGCCATTTTGGCCTGTGATCTTCGTGATATGATAGCAAACGAAGCAAAAAAAATTAATTCACAAATACCAATCCCATCTACTCAATGGCTTCGTTTACAGTTTTGGCCAACTACACCAATGAATAAGAATAGCTTGCAATATACTGGTATTTTACCAGTTAAATTTATGGTTCAGGTTCGTCAGCTTCGGTGTGAGCATGTTGACCTGCATTATGCATCTGCGTTATTTCGATATTTAAAAGAAATAGCAATCATGTTTCGAGATGAAGCTCAGCTTATTTTTATAGACGATAAACATCGCTGTAAGGTTGGTGAACCTGGGTATCCTGTTGCGGCTATAGATCGTGGAAAACGAGTCCTTGTTAATCATAACACAACATTTACTGTAAGTGATCATGATTTTACAAAATGTGGAATTATCCCAAGCATTACAATATTGTGCAACATACCCAGAACAATTGAAGAATCATTTTATGCTGGAAAGGTTTTTGTTGGGCTAAAAGAGTGTATCTTTGAGCCATCAAGTCCAATACGACATATTACAGAATTATACAATATTTTGGAAAGTATTGAAGATGACAAGCCTTATGCCTTTATATATACTGATGGTGGGCCAGACCATCGAGTAAATTTTCTTCGTGTACAACTTGCATTAATTGCAATTTTCTTAGCTTTGGATCTTGATTTTTTTGGTTGCTGTTCGAACACCTCCAGGACACTCGTAGAAAAATCCAGTTGAACGTATTATGTCTATCTTAAATCTTGAATTGCAATGCATTGGTCTAATGAGAACTGAAATGAGTGAAGAATTAGAAAGTTTGATGAAAAGTTGCAATATAATTGAAGAAATTTGTAATAAAGCTAATAAAACGCCTCAGCTTAAAGAAGGAATAATTAAAAGTGTGCGCTCTACAAAAACCATTATGCAAGAAATTTTTAAACGGTTAGAGCTCAAAGAGGAAAAATTTTCCATATTTGAAGCAGCAACAGATCAAGACATGAAACATTTGTGGGAATCGGTACTTGAAGTAGATAATTCATTGGTACCCGAAGATACATCAAAGAAACATATTGAAAATAAGGTCAGTTTCGAATTTGCAAGAAAAAAATTTGCAACATGTACTTATATTTGGAGTCTATTTAAATCTATAATTTTATTGGCATTCATTTATATTCTTTATAAATAAATAAAAGATGTACCCCTAAAATTTAAATTTTACATTAAAATAGGTTCAAATTTTAGCGTAAGCTGCCACAATTAATATTTACTTACAAATGTATTTATATATGTAGCCCCGTATCCTTGAGTTTATGAATCATTGCTGTCGTTCGAGAACGTATTTTTTTGAAATTCGAAAATGTCAAGAAGCTAGAACAGGTTGTACAATTTGTAAACCGCCATGGAGTAGACCTGATGTATTTTCAAAGTTGCAACCCTTCCCCGATTCTATTCCTAAAGCAAATGAAGATCATTATATGCCATTCTGTGAAATATATAGTAAAGATACTAGTAAAAAATACCGCCCATCATTGCTTCAAAAAGCCAATGTGCCTACATCAACAATTACTACGACTATTGATAGTCTTGGTGTTAATGGAATGGGTTTCAGTCCTCGAGCACAATATGCAACAAATGTTCGTATCTTGGTCAAGTGCATTGAATGTAACCGTCCACGAGTTCTCTACTCACAATATCGTCTAAACCCAGAGGAGGAAAATCTTCTTAAAAATTTCTTGGAAACAATTGATTATACATGCGGCACAACATTTTATGGAATTTCAGATCTCACAAAAGCCAGTCCACCCTTATTTCGAAACGATAATAATTGCAGCATAAATAATGACGAAGTTGAGCTTCAAGATGCAGATAATGATATAAATGGTGATGGTGACTACGATGGCGATGGTATGGAAGATGGTGAAAGGTTTAATGATGATGGTGACTACGATGGCGATGGTATGGAAGATGGTGAAAGGTTTATTGATGAAAGATCTGTTGATGAATTGTTTACAGAACTACAAAATACAGAGAATAGTTTATCTTTAGAGACATTGTTCAAACGGGTATTTGTTAATATCAAGCTTACCTGCGCGATATCAATAGAAGTTCCTTACTTTTCTTCTCACCTTTATCCTGATGTTTGTTTCCAGTGTGGTGATACAGAAATCTTTTCTCCAACTCCTGCTAGTGAACAACCATATTGCTCTGAATGCTATGCCACAGTAAAAACTAAAAAAAAAAAGGGCAAAGGCGTTAAGTTTAAAGCTAAAAAAAGAAAAGCAGTTAAGAAAAGTGTCGCGGTATGAGCAAAGGCTCTTATAAA